TGTTTCGAGACAGGAGACGAAGCGCGGTCTATATGATAGACTTCTGAGATAAAGATGAAATGCTTTGTAGCCGCTCAACAGAGTCGCGTTCAACACAAATGAAACGATGAAGTGTCCTTGAGAGGTCTGTGTGTTCAGTGGACATTCATGGAATCTGTGGATGAGGAAAAGAAGCATCGATGAGAAGGCATTCCGAGCCCTTCATATATGCATTGAACCCTTGAGCCTACAAATGGAGTGAGCTAGGGTGCAATATTGACCGTATAAATCTGGGCCAGGTAAATGCTCACTGTGTCAATGAACCTTTGCCACCACGATGGAATCAATCTCGGTTAGACCTTTGAAGTTCTAGTCCGAGCAGATCTGCATAGTGAAGTCTCTGGACCCCTGTTATGCAGGAGACTGAGAGGTTATTAGAAGTTAGCCACAGATAAAGCCTGCACGATCCAGAAAAAAGGGCGCCTGCATCATCATTACCCACTCACCTGTGAGATCCATTGCTTTGACTCGAAACTTTTACTTTTTCTGACCCTGCATCGAGTCTAGTTGCTTTTGTTGCCCCATCCGTAAGCGCAAACCTAGAGACCCATTTTAGCGTGACAAGAGAAGCGCCAAAAGACAATTGTCTATCACTGCCTGTCCTATCTCGATGGAGACGAAGGGTGTCAGTGGCATTCCTGGAAATCCCCATGGCATCTCGCCTGCAATGGGAGATGTCAGATTGTGTACTGTATGGGATGACTGCATGCCAGGGGAGATGAATGTGAAGCTTAAACTGACTAAACAACTTAGTAGACCCGAGATTGATTGACTAGTCACGAACTATGGTTCGTCGCAGTCTTTCTTTTTCCGCCTTCCTTCCATCTGAAGAGTTGATCCCCCCAAGTTCCCTTCACTTTCCACCTCTTTCCCCGCCTCCCTTCCAGTCATTCCCCCCTTCCTCCGTGGAAAGTCCGAGAGTCAGAAAAATCGATCACACTTGCGTTTGTCTCCTTGCGGCCTGAAACGATTTGTACACTACTAGGTACCTAAGAACCCCCGAGGCCTTGTGATCGTCAAGCTACCGAAGCCACGTTTTGACAGCTTCAAATGTGACCTCCCGGGCGATCTTCACCTTCACATCCCCAGCAACACATCACCAGAACCCCAGACCTAGTCAGGCCGGTCACTCTGAATCAAGCGCCTGTCTAGCAAATTACGGCGGTCGAACTGAAGTCCCGATTCGGAGTCACGTACACAGCTTGGCCGGTGAATCGATCGCAATTGAACTCAGTGGTACATGCCACAGACCGAAGCTAGTAAGGGATGATCTTCTCACATCCGCCCTGAGAAAGCCAGTCTTGCTGACAGAAGCAGGAAAAGGAGGGGGGGGGGAAAGCCACACCTGGCAGTCAATTCAAGGGAGACTTCGCCACACTACATGCCTATTTAGGTCAAGAGGGATCGACCAGCCACAGCTCACCTCAGCCTCAGTATGGCGGAAATCGTGCTTCGCGCAGATCAAAAACAATAGCCCTGGTAGAGCCGATGTTACGAGCCCCACACCCCCTAACGCTGCTGGCTCTTCCCCACTACTCAGTCCGGATAACTTCTCCTCTCTTTCACCATCACGGTACTTTCGCGGTCGGACCAACGGGTCATTATTCTTCGGCTTTTGTTGAGATATAGAGGGCCTATTGAGAATGAAACCTAATTGCATGAAACTCAATAATTGGAAGCCAATCCACCTTGCAATGCAGGCTAACGCTCTTGACTTCGCGCCCTTTACTTCCAGAGTTAGCCACGCACAGTGCGCTAAGATGTGCACACACACACACACACACACGGTGGAGTCATTCGATTACGCGGATTACTATGCATCATCTGGCGCCGACGGAGAACACCACCACGGTTCTGCGCTGCCGCTAGTACAGTACGTTTGGTTTTGGAGATGCAATCGCTGATTAGACCGCAGGATGGATGACGACATCCCTTGACTGCTGAAACAGGGCAGGGCGGCCAAGTTCCGTATTTACATTGCCCATGCAAAGCAGTGAAACCGATGGCATTGTGATTGCTCTACATTGAGTCTCACTGATGACTCTAGGAGAGAACCCAGTGTTATCAAAACACGAAAAATACGAGCAAATTATTTTGTCTCGTAAGCGGAGAACATCAACATGACGGGGGAAAAGAGGCACGTCTTGACACCTAAGACCTCGTCATCGACGCCACAATTCTTGCTTTTTCCCAGATACCAGGACTCAACCCAGTATCTTAACCTGCAATGTAATGCGAGATGATCGGAACTACTGATTGAGTTCTAGTCCCATGCGCGGACGGTGTTGACCGTCCGAGGTCGAGGTACGCTCATTCCCCTTTGGGCTAGAAACGTGGTCCACCAGCCACAGATGGCTTACCGAGGATCAACGGCTCTGATTGTGGCGGTGAACAGGGTGTCACTCAGCACAACCCAGTGGAGTCCTTGCAGGATGGATCCCTCTATACATTGATAAACACTTTGAACGCTAAAGCGTGGCCCACAGTGAGCTACTTGTGTGGCTGTCACGAGGGTGATCTTCTGTCGAATGATGGTGTTCTGTACGGTCACTCTTCGGCTTCTGCTTGATGGCAGGTCCCCGAGCACACACGACGAGGCCCGCACATAACTCAGGATGCACTAGCTTTTTTTCTTTTATTTTTCTTTTCTCCTGCTCTCTCTTTGTTTCTATGTTCCTCTCTACCCTTGTGCGGCCTGAACCCCTCTTCTGAGTACCACATCTCGGCACCATCAACGATTCTATGATGATTCGGCCTTGGTTGGCCTGGCGAATAGGGATTGCACGGAAGCTGGGGCTCGGGAAGCTCGACTGCGAAAGCGTGTATTTTAGGCTGAGCCCTCAACGAAGCTAGCACCTACGAGTGTGATGAGTCCATTCTCTGACCTGCTCTGTGAGAGTGTCAGGATTGTTTCAGCCGATCCTGGCAATCCGAAGTCTATGTGCACATCATGGACGATCATACATTTAGTCGACTAAAGTCCGCTTCGGCCGAACATTAGCAAGGTTCAACAGCTAGGCGGGGCGAAAGATTGCACAACAAAGGTACCATGCACCGATCCTAGATATCACACTTTTTGACCCTGAGGATAGCCCCCAGCTAGTTGTGGCTGGCCTTTCCGACTGACTAATTGACCTCCACGATTGACTTACGTGCTTCTGCCATTCTCTCCCTAATTCTCAGGTCACTACAGTAAACACGGATAGCCTTTCAGCCTGCCTACGCAGAAGCAGATATGCTTGACAAAGTTTGAGATCGATCTGAAGATCTGTTCGACATGCAGATGACACGATTTGTTCACCTGCGATCGACTGGAAGAGGTAAATAAGTCCGCAGAGTGGCTAGGTGTCGCTCCGGACGTTCTCATTTGTTCGATGGAGACAAAGGGAGAAAAGCCGGCTTTGTTTTCCGTTCCCGCGCAGGTGGCGAACAGATTCTAGACACGCTTCCATCGACCGCTTGGACCTTCTAGGCTACATTCCTCTGCACTACCACTCATCATTCTTGATCATGAGATGCGCCGTGAGAGCTCAACGTCAAGTCCTCATCACCCTTTCTGTTCTTGTGGGCTGAACATTGGCACGATGATTGACAGCCAAGTCAGCGGCAGCAGCGAGCTGACACCTAGCCATCAGCCTCTCATACTCAGATACGAGTCTGACTTGTTGAGGCAACACGCTGTGGCGTCTGCAGCCCTGGAACGGAAGCTCTTAAGAATCCCCCGCTGCCAACCAGAACCTGGATATGCGATCCGCGAGATTCTCACATATGTCTTTGTCATACGAGCGTCGCGGCCCTACGCAATCCAGCAACTTTCGGGATCCACCCCTCCGTCTCAGGTCAAAGAACTTCGATTCCACTCTAAAGACCTGATCAAGGAAGCCCTGGCATTGCGGCTATCCTTGCATCCCAAGGATTGACTATAACTACAATAGGTACTACATACGAGATAGTAGCGTATAAAGTATTGTGGAGACTTCAAGACATACTGTCCGGGACCGGGGTTCAATGTTGGCGCATGGATCAGATTCAGAGCTAGGCCGGATGCAAATGCCGTAGTCCATGTGGAGTCCTGCCCTTCTCGATCTTAGTCTACTGCTTTAGTTGCCGAACCTTGCTTTTTTGACGTGGAAAACAAGGAAAATCGTTCGCAAAGAGGGGCTCCCTTCTGGGAGGATTCAAAAGGTTCAATAAATTGGGACCGATGTAATATCGGGCCTCGGAGTGATTTTATCCCACTGTGGAGGGGAAATGTCGCCGAGAGAGAGAGAGAGAGAGAGATGAGATGAGGGACGGAGAATCTGAACGAGCAGAAAAGGCTCGTAGTAAGGCTCTAGAGGTATTTCCGTCGATGGCTGTCAGCGAAATTGAAATGAGGCGTAATAGTGAGGCGAGCAACCGCTGCATCCTTTGCTTAGAGAACGGTCACCTGACATGTTCCCTGCACTTGAGCATCTGTAGCAACAGTCCTGGCAATTGTCCTGTCTACGATGAAGAAGAGGTTGGTGTCAGACTGCGCGCTGTTAGGAATTCTTCTTAGTATATGAGACGACACGAGATGTAGGGAAGGGTTCTCGTCACTCATGGCTCATGCAATGACTTCTGAACTTTTCGATCTGACTGTTCTTAGGCTGATCAAGAACTGGAGCGAGTGATTGGAATCTCAACGAGTTTCTCCGTTTTGGGATTCTTCGATCCTCGCCATGTGTGACTTGTGGTAGCTTTGGTTCTTCTCGGCATAATCGAAGAGTTTCTGGCGAGGTCGAGAGCCGTAACTGCATGTCAAACCACAGCTCGTGGAAGCTATGGATACAGACCAAGACATGAAGTTATAGACTGTCAGTCAGTTTCAAAGCCTCTAAGGTATTCCGCGCGCCAGGATCAATCGTTGGATTGTTGCTGTCCGTCTTGTGTAGAGCTCCCGACTGTGAAGGCTACAGGTCTGAATAGCTTGTCGCAGTGCTTGAGTAGAGGCTTTGCATTAAGCATTCCAGCTCAAAGATACCTCAAGAATTGGTTTGCATGACTTTTCGCCAGTTCTCTCTGAAGAAGTCATACGAAGGCTAGGTAACTGGTCAAGTTTCCCCGGCAGGGAAGGTGACGGAGCTCTGGGCTCTCCTTACCGCCATGCCTTCCTTCCTCTGCGACGATACCTCTCTCCTACACGCAAGTCAAACACTCATGGAGTGGCTGAGGCGAAACTCACTTCCACCGGTGCAAGCAATAGTATTCTTATCAGAATGACTGCCTTGCTACGCTCCTTTCACGCGTCCGATGGCACCCGTCCTTATACAACCATACTACCATGGTCCCTTCCTCTCCCACGCAACGCGAAGCATCGACACGGCTCCCATGACCGGCCCCAAGCGCTTCAGTCTCCGGGTGCTGCTGCAGCTGTTCGCAATCACAATCTCCATCTTCGTCCTCGCGGTGCTCTTCTGGAAGCTCGGGAGATTCTTCCGCCGCTTCACCCAGGCCAAAGTTACCCAGCGTGGCAACGCGACCACCGCCCGTTACGCCCGGACCTGGTACGGCTGGGTGCCGGCGGAGAGGCATGCTGGACTCAAGAGGTTCTTCCGAACTTGTTTCGAGAAGTTCTGCAGGTGGACGGCGTGGCGATCGTCGAACCAGGACTACAGCTGGGTGTGGTGGGATCCGGGGCAGAGGGATCTGAACAAATACCGAGAGACGAGGCGGCCGTTGCGGTGGTTGCCTCGTTGGATTAGGAGTTATAGTTTCACTGCTGCGGATACTATCTGGAATCCTGGGCCTGCTGACCTTGCTGGTGTCATCGCTGCGCCGAGCAGTAGTCGTCAGTCGCTGTCGTTTCGAATGGCCGGAGCACTTTCTTCTTGTCATACCCTGAAACGTGTCGTGGGGAACAGACACACTGTGTCAAGGACGAGTATCTGCACGCAGGTCTCTATCAAGGTCTATCTCCAGGATGGATGTCGCGGAGCGGTGACGCGGCCTGATGCTCCCGCACCGGTTGGGGATGGGTTCATGAACGCAACAGGAGAGCTACGCAGGCCAACTCGCTGTCAGATCGAGGCTCGAAGAACATTGACCCTAGAGCATTCGTTTTGTTCTTTTCAATTGGCTCCGTGTGAGCGGAACATTCCTGCTGTTGTCCCAAAACTGTCGCGAAGTCGCTCTCTCCCGTGCTTCGACCCCGTGGCAGAGCGCCTCAGGAGACAGGACGGCCTCATGACACACTGGACCCGCCATCAGACCAGCCCTGATAGCCACTCAAAAGTCAGGCAAAACTCTCGCTACTCGCGCCCATATCGCGCACGCTACACTCGGATGGGTAACCACACATCCCATGAGGGATCTCTTTGCCCACCTGTCCGTGTCGAAAGACCTGACAGACTGACGGGACTTCTGCCAGATACTAATCCCATCCCTGGACTGTGTGACATGATAAGACAGTGGAGTGGCCGAATATCATCTTCGAGATGTAGCAGTTTACCCCTCGAAAACAGAAGACGCAGTGCTGCCGCAAATGCTACGCCTCTTCGACATGCGGCGTTCAATTCTGACATCGCGAGACGATTCTCCGAGACGGTATATCCTGAGCACCTCTACCACAAAGAAAGAAACATTCTATCTTTGCGAAGCCTTGGTGCTGGATCGAATCAAAGCTTTTCGAGAGACTGCTTGCCAATTGGACCGAAAGGTCTAGGACTTGAGCAGAGTTCACATGAAGGCTTTGCATCTCGCCTAAAGGCAAACGTGGAAGACCTCAATGTGGACCAACCCAAAGCTTTTGGCATCGGACTGGGAGATTGTGATTTACGGTTGATAGCTGACCTAGACCGGAGGCTTGAGTGGCTCTCCAACCAGCTCATCCCCGGACGCAGACCGTACCATTTTGCCTTGCTTGCCAATCACTGGCTGAACCCTGAGACATGGATTGTCATTGACCCTCCGACTCGAATCTCGATTGATGCTAGGCGCCGACTGGGAGATCCAAGATTCAATGACCCATACCCAGCCCCTGACTGGACCCCGAAGCCGAAGTACCCCAGGCTGCAACGCAGACCGGCCAATGTCCCAAAGATCAACTCCTGGAGAGCAGCTGTAAATCGGAACAGACGAGCGGGCGGCGTGGACGATGTAATCAAAGGTGTTGAGCTATTTGAGGGTTCAGACGACGCACCCCCGGATGGCAAGGTTGACCCTGCATGCTGGATCCTTCGGAAACCGCCTCAAGGATTTAGCATGTCCTCTCGCCAGGGGACCGTATTCTATGAAGGAGGAGCAGGCTGGCAAGAGACGCTAGACGACTGGCAAAAGGTTCGCCGTGGCTATCGAATCCGAAAGGCAATCCACGAGGGAAGGGCAAACCGGAGACGAGCAAAAGAGATTGCGCTTGGTATTACGAGATACTATCGACTGGGCATCTCCAAAATCTCCTGATATCTGGCTACTCGCGGGTAACAACATAATCAAGGGACCAGTCAGTGGCGTCACTTTGACACAAGGAAGGGTGATTGACGGCAACTCTTGCGAATGCGGGGACAGGGATTAGAAAGGCAATGTGTGGGAAAAGTGATCCAGCCCGAGGCTCTTTCTTGCTATATTCTTATTTCCGAGCTGTCTTGCTTTGATATGACTATATGTCCACCTATCTTTACACTGTCGAGATACCGAACACACAGCTCAATCGAGCGATGCGAACATAGTGGTTGTACGGACGGTATAAGGCGAGAAAAAAATTGAACATTGTGAATATCAAGGAATACCAATGCAGTTATAATGTGTCATTTCCCAGTTGCCAAAAAGATAAAAACTCCGATAGTCGCCCTTGCCCGTGTCCCGTTTTCCCCTGAACTCGGCAAGCCTCTTTATATGGGAAAGGAGTAATCAACACGGACGGTGTGATGATAATGTGATGGTGTATAATACAGCGTTGCGAACTCCAAAATCGTTTTGTGTGCGAGATAAGAAGTTCGGTAGTGAGACGAAGGTTGTTTCTTCTCATAGCGGATGATACGTTTTCTGTCGGGCGCAAATAATCCAGTAAACGAATACCGTTTTAGAAACCAGGGGGGTTGACTCTTTGGCTGACTCGCGTCCACTTGGGCAGCTCTGTTTGTGGATTGGGATTTGCAATGTTAGCTTTCTTTCTTTTCCTCCCTTGCCGGGAATGCTGTTAGGTCGACAGAAGCGCAAGCTTTGATCGAGGGCGGCTGCTGGGACACTCACTGTGAATCCCCTTCCGGTACTTCTTCTCCTTCTTGTCGAAGATAGTGTACTTGTCCTTGGGCAGCATCTCCTCCTCGCGGGGCATCTCGTTGAACCACCGCGTCACGGGCTTGGCCGTCTGGCCGTTCCGGGCCAGCGCCGCGCTCACGGTGTCCACGACGCGGTCGACGGCGCGGAGGCGCTTCCGCTGGCGGGCTTTCTGGGGCGCGGAGATGCGCCAGGGGATCTTCCTGTTTGTTTCAGAGGTTGGAGTTAGTGATTGCTTTGTTGGATTTGGGTGGAGAGGGAATAGCTAGCGGGTGGCGTGGGAAAGAACTTGTTGATGATGATGGGAGGGAGACGGGAGAGTGCGGAGTTCGATCGGGGGGCTGGAGGGAGTCTGGAAACTAGAACAATGCGACTTACCAGAGAAGACCCGAGAAGAGCGGCGATGAGGGCTTGAACATCATCTTGAACAGAGCGTCACACACACACCGGGTTGCAAGAGAGAGGGGAAGATGTGGGATAGGATAGCCGTTGCGGGTTTTGGAGGTGGAGGAGCGGACGAAAATCCCGTCGAGGTTTGGGAAAGTTGGTCCGTGCCCTCTCTTCACCTCCGCGGGACCGTCTCTCTCTCTGTGTCTCTCTCTGCTTCCAAGTTCTCACTCTCTCTCTCTTTTCCCTCGATTTTGTTTTCGCCCAATGAAGGCGCTACTTGGTCGCACGCTGTCGGTTTTCGGGGTCTCTTCCCTTTTGTGCATGATTTAGATTATTTATCTCTTTAACTTTGGGGTGTCTTCTTCTGTCTTTTCTCTGAGAGTTTTGAGTTCTTGGATGCGGGCGTGGTTGAACCCGTCAAAGGCCAACCTACTAAAACTACTACCGAGTTTACACACATACAGTGCAAATGTCGCGCTCGACGACGGACGCCGGCGCAACGGCAGAGGCCCCCTCGCTCCCATGGAGGACTCTGTCCGCCACGACCATGCTGGGGGTTGCATCGCTGTGCCGGTCGTTTCTGTACGTGTGCAGCAAGCCCGAGGTGTACGGCTTGGAGCCATTTCTGGAGTTGCTCGATTCGAGACGCGATCCGGCCCAGAGGACAAGAGGGTTGTTAACAGGTATTTTCTCCTCCCGGATTCTCTTGTCGCGCGGTTGCGCCAAGGCTTCGAACAGAAGTGGCTAATTCTATGCTCTCCTGCAATAGTTTCGAACCATACTAGCGTGTACGTGCGTACAAATGCGCCTTGAGGTCCGAGGCGATTCCAATTTACTTCTTACAACGGAGATGGCTGATCATGGTCGCGACGCGACACCCCGAGCAGGATGGATGATCCGATTATGTGGGGGTTTCTTCCTATGCGATACTGGCTGACCCTTTCCTCGTCGAATAAACGATGGGGGTTTGGGAGCCATGATATCTGCTACCAGACCAGGTATGCGCTCTTGGGCATTTCCACGGAGATTGATAATGGGAAGGGTGGTGGGCTAATGTGAGCGAATCGACATCAGACCCCTGGCGCTGTTCTTTACAATGGGCCAGGTCCTTCCCACCCATCGACTGGCCCATTCGCCACACGGTGGTCTGGCACAACCCGTTGTCACCCAGGCGATTCGGTTGCTGTCAAAGGGCCCATTCGCCGCCGATCCCCATCTCGCCCGCCCCGAGCGGCAGTCGTGGAGCTTGCAGAATGTCTGCGTCGACCCGTTCTCGGATCTCCCGATGGCGTTCACGACCGACGGCCACGATTCCCACCTGTCCCCGTCCTCCTTCGCCTGCAACTCCTACTCCTGGTTCCACATCTTCCCTGAGGGCATGATCCACCAGGCGCCTAACAAGACGATGCGGTACTTCAAGTGGGGGGTCGCCCGGCTCATCCTCGAGGCCAGTGAATGTCCCGATGTCGTGCCCATCTGGCTGGAGGGCTTCGACCAGGTCATGCACGAGAGTCGCGAGTTCCCGCGCTTCCTGCCTCGGGTCGGCAAGGAGGTCAGCATCACGTTCGGAAAGAAGGTCGATACCGAAGCTATCTTCGGCGAGTCGCGGAGGAAGTGGCAGCAGATCAGGGCCAAGGCGGAGCGCACATCGCCCGACACCCGCGACCTCCCGCTCGGAGTGCTCAATGACGAGCTCCTGTACGGGACGGAGGCGGTTGAGCTGCGCAAGGAGGTTACCATGAAGGTTCGGAACCTGGTTCTCGAGGTGCGGCGGTCTCGAGGCCACTCGGATGAAGACCCCAAGGCGGGTCTCGCTGAAACGTGGATTCGAGAAGGCCCCAATCGGGAGGGGAAGATGTTGGATGATTCTTGGGTGCGCGATCTTTGAAGCAACTACAGCGACACGGCAAAGCCATTTTCAGTGTAAATTAGAGCATATTTGATAGACGAAGTGTACTGTACAGATTCACGATGAAACATAGTTATCAAGCCAGGGTGTCAGTCAGCCAATGGAGGCTGTGTCGGGCCAGGCCCACCGTGAGTCAATTCGACTCATTATTCCTTCCAGCCTTGCTTACAAGTTAACTCCGCTCCGCAACTTTACTTCGACCCGCCGACGTCAATTGTTTCTTGACAATAACCAATGTTAATTTAACTCCCGCTTCCACCTCCTACTCTCACCATTTTATTCACACTCCATGCCACCCACCACCGCCACCACCACTACCCCCTATGCCCAAGAAGTTCAAGAAGAATGCCTATGCGAAGCCAGCGAGTACAGCCCATCACACTCTGGTCTCCGGTGGTTCCCGCCCCAAAGACCATGATCGCCTCCGCCCGTCTTCCACCTCCTCCCCCGCCGAGCAACAAGAACAACCCTCCGTGAACGAGCTGATCGACCACCTGCGACGCACCCAAGTCACACGAACCCCCGACCACGGACCTGAAAACCCTTATCGATTCGTGGTCCCCCGCTCAGTCCACCCGTCTCTACGCAATCTCCTCGAGCTCCCTGAGACCCCGCCCCCGCGCCCGCGGCCGGGCTCGCGCCGCCACGCCGTCGTCGGCGCACGACGGGGCACGCGACGAACCGCCGCCGGACCTCCCGCCCCTCAGAGCTGGCTCGTGGGGAACTACGGTCGGGAGGATGATAAGGAGCTGGATGAAGATGGCGCGACGGAGAGTCGTCGCACCATCTACCGACTGGCGGAGCGCCTGCCCGGCACGACGTTCCCCGCCAGAGGAAGTCTGCAGCATACCGTGCTGAAGTCCATGGCGCTCTACTGGGCGTGGCATCTTGAGTACGACGGCCCGTTTCTCGCGGACCTGCCTAATCATGTCAAGGTCCGATTGCTCAGTTTCAATGGTGTATACACCCGGGACTATCAGATCCCGTCTGGTTTGGGGCTGCGGGTGTTGTTCCCTCGCTCTCAGCAGCAACAGCAGCAGCAACAGCAGCATTTGGACGATGACTTCGCGGCTTCCCATGAGCACAGCAGCGAGACAGGAGCAGCAGGAGCAGCAGGAGCAGCAGGAGCAGCGCAGGAGAACGACGACGAAATCACGCGCCTCGACCTCAGCAGCGCCCTAGGCCGCTGGCTCACGCTCAAGCAAATCTCCAGCGAACTGCTCCTCACGACCAAGCAATCCACCCCTGCTCTCCAGCAAACACCCAACGAGCCCGCCTCCGCCTCCACCTCCGCCGTCCCATCCTCCTGGGAGGACGAATACGACGAACACCAACCCCCACAACCTACTACACCCACATCCCTAACCACAACAACCCTGCGCACCCCGCGCTTCACCAACCTCCGGTACCTCTCCCTGGCCCACCCGACCCCCGCCTCCGCGAACTGGAACAGCTTGATCACGCTCCTCGCGCGCCTCACGCGCATCACCCACCTCTCGCTGGCCCACTGGCCCCTCCCGACCGCCACCCCGCACGCCCGCACCGCCACCGTCCGCCACCCGGCCCACCGCTCCCTCACCTTCGCCTACGGCGGCACGGACGCCTACGCCGCCAGCGACAACAACTGGGCCGAGGTCGCGGGCCTCCTGCGCCGGCTGTCGCGCGCCACCTACTGCCTGAAGTGGCTGGACCTCGAGGGCTGCGGGGAGTGGCTCCCCGCGTTCAATTGGGTCGGGCGCGGCCCCGACGGCGAGGTGTATCCCTCCGGTCCGGAGTGGAATGGCTCCTGGCGCGAGGTCGAGTTCATCCGGTTGGGCGCCGGCTGGGTGCCTTCGCTTGAGGGGGATGATGATCCTGCGCTACTGCAGCAGCAGCAGCAGCAGCAGCAGGAGCGTCGGCTAGTTCCAGAAGGCATTAGACCTGCTACTCTGGTAGAAGGTGTAGGTGGGGCCAGACGAGCCCTGGCTGCGTCGATGCATGCCCCCCCTCCGGCGGGTGCTGGCGCCGGCGGCGATGATGATGATGATGATGACAATCTCCCCTGGGACGTCGAGGAGGAGAGGCTCAAGTACCGGCGGATGAAGGGGGTGCAGCGGTACCGCGAGATCGTGGAGACGGCCAAGGAGGTGCAGCGGAACGTGCAGCGCGTTCGGAAGGAGGGCAAGGGGAAGTGGGTGACGTTCTCGTTCGGGTTGGAGGGGTTGGAGGACGATGCGTTGAAGAGGTTGCTTGGACCGAGGTGGTTGGATCTGTTGCCTTGATTTCTGGCGGGCGGCGGTAGCGTTTTTGGGGGTGTATGGTGCAGTATATACTGTATAGTAGGGAAAAATCTATAACTGCAACTTAGGTAGAATATACAGCAGCTGCAGCTGCAACAATAGAAAGAGGTATCTTTCTAATCTTCAGCTACGGCTACTCCACGATCACCATAAACCATGCATTCCAAGCGAAACTTTTTCTTTCTATGAACCAAATCCCAAATTATGTACAGTACAATGCCGACCCTCTCCATCCAAACATAAATGCCAACCACCCTTCAGGAAAAATCGATTACTTCCTCCCGCGATTAAACGTCTTCAACGGGTCGACCTTCCGCCCACCACCACCAGGCTTCCTGCCGCCCTTCCCCTTGCCGCGATTCTTCTCGCGGGCCTTGCGGATGCGGTTCTCGCCGCCGACCTTCCGGAAGCCCACATACCCGACCGTCTCGGACGAGATGCCCTTCCGTCCCTTGGCGGGCATCAGATACTCGGGGATATGCTTCAGATGGGGCTGGATGCGGGCGGCGCGGAGCTCGCCGTCGTGGCGGAGCTGGCGCAGCTCGTCCGGGTTCTCCTCGAAGTGGCGCTTGAGCTTGTCGGACTTGATCAGCTCCTGGCGGATCTCGCGGGCGCGGGCTTCCTGGACGGCGAGGCGGGTGATGGCGCGCAGGGCGTCGGTCATGCGGTACCGGAAGGCGTCGACCTGGGCCATCTCGAAGTGGTAGGGTTTGACCTCGTGGCCGAGCTTGGCCTGGCGCTTGACGATGCGCGCGACGACCGTCTCGTCGTGCTTGGCCGTCGGGAAGGAGGTCGGCTTGTGGCGGCCGTACTGGTCGGCGGGCACGACGAAGGAGAGCGCCATCCCCGTCTTGCCGGCGCGGCCGGTGCGGCCGATGCGGTGCGTGTAGGACTTGGCGGTCGTGGGGAGGTCGAAGTTGAGGACGCACGCCACGTTCTGGAAGTCGATGCCGCGCGAGATGCCGTAGTCCTTGTCCTTGGTGGAGAGTTTGCGGCGTTTGCTGTTGGTTTCGGGGGTGGTGGGTTTCTTGGTTTTCTTGGTGGTGGTGGTGGTGGTGGTGGTGGTGTCTTCGACGTCCTCTTCGTCGTCGCTGGAGCCGACGAGTCCTTCCTCGTCTTCTTCGACCGCGTCGGCGGTCGTGTCTTTCGTCTTCTTGGATTTCTTCGCGCCGAGAACCTCCTGGTCGTCGGCCGCGATGATGATGTCGTAAACGCCCTTGTTGAATTCCTGGACGACGTGGATCCGCGAGTTGACGGGCAGCTCGGAGTTGAGGACACAGCTCTTGATGCCGAATTGTTCGAGGAACAGCTTGACGCGGTAGCAGCGGTCGACATCCCCGACAAAGATGATCACCTTGCCCTTGATCAGCTGCAGCTTGAAGATGACGTAGGTGAGGAGGAACTTCTCGTCCTCGGCGCATCTAGACCGACATGAACATTAGCAAATGGTGTATCCTCCCCCCTTCACAAAAACAAACCAACCTGACAACAAACTGGCTAACCCCCGCCCCCTGCTCCTCCTTATCCTCCAGCTTCAACACCACCGGATTCCGACAGAACAGACCCTTCAGCGTATCCACCTCCGAGGTCAGCGTCGCACTCATGAGGAAGGTCTGCACCCCGCGCGGAATCGCCTTGGCCAGCACGTTGATGTCCTCGTCGTACCCGTACGACAGCACCAGGTCCGCCTCGTCGATCACCAGGTGCGCCAGGTGCTCCAGCGACAGCGCCGAGTTGCCGAGGTTGGCGATCACGCGCGCCGGCGTCGACACCACCAGGTCCGGGTAGTCGGCCAGCAGCGTGCGCTGCACCGCGTCCGACACCTTCTGCGTCAGGTTCACCGACCGGATCTCCTTGCCGCAGAAGGCGGCGAACGTCGTCACCACATTCTGCACTTGCTCCGCCAGCTCGCGCGTGGGCACGAGGATCAGCCCAGTCGTCGCTTTCAGGGAGGGGTCGGCCTAAACATTCAGGTAATTCCGGCCGTCAGTTTCGAGTCCACAGGCTGGGAAGGACCGAAAAAAAGAAACTCACAGCTTTCTTTTGAAGGATAGTCTGGAGGATAGGGAGGACGTAGGCGGCGGTCTTGCCGGATCCGGTCTTTGCCCGGGCTGGTTCATGGTCAGCTTAGTTGAATACGATGATGAAAAACCGAAAAAAAACTCACCAAGAATGTCTTTTCCGGCAAGCGCCAGAGGGATAGCCTTGGCCTGGACCAGCGTCGGCTTGGTGAACTTCTCTTTGATCAGGGCTTGGCGCAATCGCGGATCCAGATTGAGGGTTTCGAAGTCGGCGTCTTTGACCTCGGGGGTCTGGGTCTGGGTCTCGGGGATGGTCTCGGCGCCCTCCGGAGAGGGCACGTCGTTGGCGTCCAACTTGCGTTTCATTGTGACAGACAGCACTGGAAAGACAAAAGATCGTGCGTGTCTTCTCGAAAGGGGGAGTATTTTGAGGAAAGCGACGATATGAACTGGGGGGGAGAGTTTTCGTGGAGGGCGGCGGGCTGGGAAATTCTGTCGGGCGGTGAGATTTTCCGAGGCAGTATTTTTAGCGGGTCTCCACTTGCCTTCGATCCACTCTTATCATATCAGCCCTCTCCATCTATACACTAATAACAGCGTGAATATGGTCAACACGGCTCAAGCCGAGCTCAGTACTACCTGTGCTGGAAACCAAATAGTCACATTGAATAATGGATTGGTTTTGACAAAGTCTGCGCACCATGCTGCTCCACCTTGACAGCGACAGCGACAATCACCGTTATCAACGACCAACAGGTTAACTATGAAGACATCGTCTCGATTCCCAAGCTATCACCTAAACCAATAACGAAGGTAACGACACTGCAAGCGGATCAGACCAAAGCATCGGTATCATACAAACACCACAAAAGAATTCCGCATGCAAGAATCCAAGGTCGTCCCGCCCACAGCGAATAAGGGATACGAATCCAAACTCAGTCTGCACCGAGGAAAAACAATAACCTGAAAGGAGGGAAGTTTGTTCTAAATGGTATCGTAACGACCAAACTTGACCGGAGACTGCGTAAATTCCCGTGGAGTTTCCGGGTCCTGCAAGCTGGCGGATCTAGCTCCTCTCTTCCTCGGACTGACCCCGAAGTCAATGCTGGGGATCTCGCTCAAGTTGAAGGACTGACTCGGGGACTTGGAATCTCTGTACGGCAGGACGGTATCATCCGAGAACCAGAGCGTGAGCGCCAGGCGGCTGATGCCGGCGTTGGTCCACCCTTGGCCACGCAGTGTCTCCCACTCCGGGAGCGAGCGGATGCGCGCCTCTTCCAAGGACGACGTCCTCAGCTGGAACAGAAGCCACTGGTTGACGAAGACTTTCGACGGCGAGCTCGGTATCAGCACCGGCTCGAAGATGCTGCTCTGTTTGAGCTCATGAGAGGACAGCTGCAGCGTATCGCCATGCACTTCCGTGAGGGTCTCAAGATCCGACAGTCTGGCCCAGTACTCATGAAACAGATTCATCCGTCTTTCATCGTAGGTTCGCAGAAAGTCCATTGCATCGCTGTCAAGCCCTTTGTCTGTGACCAAGGGATTTTCAATATTTTGGAGCTCCATGATCGAGACCAATTGCCCGTCAAGTTCGACCAACTGACCCCACAGCTCTCGCAGCCTCTGTGCGGCCACAGACTGGGAGAACGCCTTCAAAGCATGCTCGTTGCGACCCAGAAGCCCCTCACCTCCGACATTGCCCAAAGTGGCCCTCTCATAGTCCTCCTCCGTGAAAATGCCTTTGGGAAATGACCCGCGCAGCTGATCCAGCAGGCCCGCAAAGTCCTCCATCGACTGAACCAGCTGGTTCTCCCGCTCCGTCAGCGCCCCATCGACACGTTCGTACTCCGCCTCCAGATCTGCAAGGAGCAAACCCACCTCCATCAATGCCGACGTCCAAGCATCATCACGATGATTATCACAGACAACCCGGGCATCGCCATCCGCATCAACATCAGTCGTCATCCACCCCGAGATTATGTGCTCCCTCACCTTCCTCTCTGCCTCGAACCGCTCCCGTCGCATTTCAGCGTGGATCTCTCGGAGGGTGGTCCGCAGGCCCGCGATCTCAGTCTGCTGCGCCATCAAGACCTCCTTGGTGGCGTGGATCTGCTCGACCTGCGCGCAGCTCAGCCGGACTTCCTGCCTCATGCTGCTGCTTCTGATGCCGCCACCGCTGCCGCTGTTACTGCGACTACTACCAGCAGCAGTAGCCAAGGGTGAGAACGTCCGTTTGTCGATCGGTCCGGCGGGATCGCTGGGACTGATGGCTGCTGCTGCTACTGGCTGCTGGGCCGGACCGGTGAGACTGATGGTCGCTGCTGCTGCTACTGGCTGCTGGCATCCGCGATGCGGGGTCACGTCGGGCTCAGGTGGACGGCTGCCGACGTCCATTTCGTGGGTAGTCGGGATGTGCGATGCGTATAGGAGGACCTCCGGTTCGTCCCATGGGGGTACCGGGAGGGGCACGGAGGAGGACGACGGCGGCGGCGTGGGCGCACCACTGCGCATCGTTCGGGGGGAGCTGAGGGCGTCACTGAAGAAAGAGCTGATCGCCTCGACCTCGCTGGGCTCCATCTTTTTTTTTTTGTGGATGCGCTGTGCAACGAGAGAAGGCAGTGGCACAGAAAATGGAGTCTGGATCAGGCCAGCGATAGTCAGACTGTGAGTTGGGCCGGGGGAATGTAAGAATTCAGCAAGATAGGCATACACATCGTGTAAAGTAGGCATCTCTCGATGAGCAATCTGAAAGCTAGTAGGTAGTTCTGTGTCCCGCATTGACGACAAGACGGGCAGGCGCGATAGTGACGAGGTCTCAAACCCAAAGCAAGGAAACAAATGGAAAGAGGTATGCACAGACTTTCTTCGAGTAAATTATTTGTTATGAATAGAGTGCCTCCCTCAAAGGTACAAAGACATTATAGAGACATTCGGTCGAGTATTGAGCTCCATGTAGCGAACACGCATGATGTTGAAATATGATCAGGGTATTTTATCAAACATCAAAGGAAATCCAGGCCGTAGTTCGTCTTTAACCCACAACTCAGCAATGACTGGCAAGACAAGTTTCAAAAATCAATAGATAGAACAAGGTACATAATCAGCGTTGAACGCTACGCAGTAATAACTGAAGGGGAATATGTAAAACATGACGCGGGGATATATAGGAAGATGATAGGAAACAACATAGATGATGCATCAAGTTGAAATCGTCCAGAGTAAAGCAGCAATCGCCGGGGGTATATACCTCGCTCCTCTCCTCTGCTCTCATTCGTACTCGTTCCTTCCACGCTGCCCTAACAAAATGCCACAGAATAGAAACGAGTCCGAAGAAGAAATTTATACGAACGCCCCTCACGCACATCACCACATTAGAAAGACGAGCATCAGGCATGAGACATGAAACATAAGCATGAGAATAGGCATAGACATGAGCAAGGAGTATCGCATCAGCTAGAGCTGAGCCAGGCATGAACATAAACATAAGACATCGAAATTCGTGCAGGTCGTCAAGAATCGTACAATCATGTCGCCATGATGGACGTGATCGGTCAGAGCCGTCAAACCCGCCCCTCCTCTTTTTGAACACCGAGGCCAAACCAAACCAAACCAAAGAGAACCAAAAGCATCACCGCCCAATGTCGATATCAGACATCCAAACATTTTTTTTCCCTTTGTTTGTGGTGATCCCTTCAATACCATCCGAGATCCGAGCAGAACCAAAGGCTCATTGCCAATTGTTCAGCCCACCACAAAAAAAACAAGAACTTTTTGAAGAACCGATGTGCGTTGTCAAAGACAGAGATCTAAACCATAACTTTTGTAAGATCGCAAAAGTAACGCATAAGCCGGAGATTGTATAACCAGCATGGATCGCATCATGAGACTTCAATTCAAGCCTCTTATCTAGTATTAACCGCTATAGATGGACCGACCCGAGCGTCGACTAGCCCGGTCCGATTTCCGGTCACTCATGGCTCGGCGCGGGTCTTCCAATGCTCTTCGAGAAAAAGTTCCGGTATAGTCAGAGCCTCCCGTGAGGTATTTCTTCGGTCGGTGCTTGCCTTCGATGTTCAGCTCCACTGCACCATTGTCCCCGGTCCGAAGCATTAGCCTCTTGCCCCCAACGGATTCTTGGCTAAAGCTCATAGTCACACCGTTCATCGTCATGATAATATTGTTGTCCTCCTCCGGTTTGAGACCGCTGTTGCTTCCAGTTTGAGTCCGGGCGTCACTGCCACGGCTGCTGTTAGAGCGACTCTTCTGGCTGCCGCTGTCACTTTCAGCGCGTTGGGAAGTCTTGGCCTTGTACAAAGCGTCTTCGGTCAGGGGAACAGGCGCCGATGGCTTGCCCGACCGGGAGGCTTGGTACTCCTCCGCCTCGCGTTGCTTCTCGACGATTTCATCATCCTCGTCTTCGTCATCATCATCGCCGTAGTTGTATACTGCGGGCCGGCGCCGACGAGAATTCTCGACAGCAATTCGTGCCGGTCGCGCAGACTCGTGGTAAGCGTTAGAGCGACGGCTGTCGCGGTTACTTCGGCTGCGTTCGGGTATCACGGTCTCGCGAGAAGACTGCCGATACCCGTATTCAGGCAAGGCGTCGCCCAATTCCGATAGGTCTAGAGATCGAGAGGAGCGACGGTCGGAAGGAATCAATGGAGCAGTCACGGACTTGCGAGGCGGATCGGGCCGTTTCTGGATGATGTGCGGAGCCGCCTTGTGCTTCGTGGGTGGAGGCGGCATGCGGTAGTAATCTTCATCGCGATCATGAGAGGAATGAGCGGACATCCGAGGCCGTGTCTGTCGGCCTGGAGCAGGAGGATGCGGAGTAAGAATGTCCACCACGTCGTCATCATCTTCATCTTCATCAAAGCTTGCTTCATCGTAGTCCATAGCGGGCGCGTAAGCCGACGATCGGCGGCCCCGACCGTGGTCTCGAGACCTCGAAGCCGATCGTTCTTGTCGACTATCAGGAGGGGCTGCATAATCGGACACGCCGTAGTAGGGAGACTGCTGCGGGTAATGAGAGGCGGCATACGGCGGGGCGTTGGCATACGCCGAAGAAGACAGCGGTGGACCGTGGTCGTAGCGACCCATGGAACCCGGAGGGTACATCATCTGGTTCATTCCAGGCATGGTACCATGAAAGCTCGCCGGCCGGTTGTTGGGATGATAAACGGACGAGCTTCCGCGAGCATGAGGACGGCTACTGCGGGTGACGTTGACGTCCTGAATCACAGAAGGAGGGTATCGGGAGTTCTGCGGTGCCGGAGGGGGATATTCATGACCTGGAGGAGGTGGCGGCGGCGGCATGAAATACGAATAATCCATCGGTCTCGCTTCTAGAGGTGTGGAGGCAGAATGGTACAGCCCCTGATCGCAATCATAGCACTGCCCCGGATAGTGCCTGAACTGAGCAGTATCACGTCGGCGGGACCTGGACGGGGAACGCTGAGCATGGGCATGAGGGTGCGGGTGGCCCACAGTGGGAAAACTTCCGACCTGCATTTTGTCCTCACGTGGTGGACGAGCAATTCGGTCCTTGGAAGGACGTTCTTTGTGGCCTTTGGATCGGACGCGTTCGAGGTCAGCTCGTTTGAGGGTGGTGTCTGGCTTATGAGGGACAGGACTCTTCCGGCCCGACGGCCCAGATTGGGTGCTGTTGACGGTGGCGGCGGTACGACTGGAATACCCGGAGTCACTTGCAACGTCGACCAGGGGCTCTGCAGGCGATCTCACGGCCTGTTTATGGCGCTTGGTAGTGAGGTTGGCGACTTGACGGGTTTCGGGGCGGATAACATGGGTGTCTTCGTCATATTCCTCACAGAAGGCGGCGTGGGGGACTTTGCTAGACATGACTTCTGGAAGGCGGCCTAAGGCCCAACCCTAAGAGGGGAAAAGGGAAGAGGGGTCTGGCTTGATTTGGGGGGTGGGTGGGAAAGGCACGAAGGTGGATGACCTGAAACGTGGTGCTCCAACAGGCTTTCAGATGCTTGCTTGGTGGCCTACAGCAGCCACCAACTGCTGCTCATCCGAATATGACTCAATCAGTGCCTGGGAGATTTTTTTAGCGTTTTTTTTTTTTTTTCGCCCTCTGATTTTTTTTTCTTTAGGCGCGGTTAGTGATTTGTTTCTCCCTCTTCCCTCTTAGTTCGGAGTGAGGGCTGCAAATCCACTTGGCGGCAGTCGCCTCAAGAAAACAACCGGAAGATGCAGACGGGCCAGACAATAGTCCGAAAGACAGAGCGTCTAGATCGTTGAGTGTCAACGATGAGTCGAGGGTGGGCACAAAGAGTAGTCGTCGTCCACAGTCTGCAATGTCTCCATCGAAAAGAGGAAAGGAAGAACGGGGTTGGTTCGGGGTGGAAGGGGGGGGCAGGCGACGAAGTGGACTGTGGAAAGTGGTGGTGGAGGACTGGTGATGAAGAGACGACGAGTCGGGCGGCGGACAGTCAGTAAGAGTGAGACTAGACTCAATAGATAACCCGTAGTGGACAAGCCCAGCGTGGGTCAACCGGAAAAGAAAGCTGCAGTGAACGGTTGGCAGCCGGTGAGTGGAGGGGAGTTAGAATAGAATGATCGATTAACCAAACAACCGACGGGGCTGCAGTCCTTCAATGCACCCAGCAGAAGCGTGTAACCGACGGCTTTGATGACTGGTGCGTCTGGCTAAGCAGTCGTGGTCGTCGGCCTTGGGACGCGATGATTGATGACAATCACCAAGGCGATGGGAAAAAGCAGAGGGAAGAAAGGAGGGAAAGAAGATGCAGAGGGTCAAAGGGACTTTCCAGTAGAATTTGACTCTCTAGGTTTGAAGGTCCGAGGGGGGGGGGGGATGACAGAAGGAGGGGAAGCGAGCAAGTACTAGGTAGACTAGGAGCAAAAGCAGGAATGCGCAGGGAAAAAAAAAAGGTGGGGAGAGAGAGGGAAAACAAAAGACTAAGTGGAGTAAGGGAAGAACAGGTGGGAATCTTCCACACCAGACGATAAGAGATTATCGTAGTACTGAAGTAGAAGTTAGGGAAAATCAAAGAGGGGGAAAAGCAGGAGACGGGAAAACAATGAGGAGGAGGGGGAGAAGCTGAGAGAAGGAGGGATTGCGATAGGAGATCCGGAACTGGTTGACTGACTTGATGAACTGCCACTGGTTGAGTTAGTTAATTGGTAGTAGTAGCAGCAAGAGAGGATCGGGAGGGAGGAAAGAGGTATGGAAATAGGTAGAGTAGGTAACGTAGTTGGAGGTAAGGTACGGAGGATTGGATGGGTTGGAAAACTGTGCTGTGCGTCGCCTCGGTTTTTAATTGCATTCATTCATCAGTGTACTGGAGATGAAGAGTAGGTTGAGTCAGTTCTTTTCCTTGCCTTTTTCTTTTTTTTTCTTTACATGATTTTACATCTACAATTACCATATATAAGAAAATGGGGGAGGGGGAAAAAAAAGGAAAAAATGAAAAGATTGAGGGAAAAGCCCTGATACCGACTGAATGTATACCTGAATGATTACACACAGTATGGACACACACGGCTGAGCCCGCTGCCGCTCTATGTGTTTGCATCTGTTAGTTCTTTTATTTTATTTATTTTATTTATGTTTTTCTTTTTCTTTTCTTTTTCTTTTGATCTACTGTGAATTGCTTCTTCCAGTGACTATCTCACCCGTCGTCTTGTGGATTTATAATGAGCATACCGACGATTCCAACCCCAAAGTCAGCACGAGCAAGAGTTGAACCCGGAAGGAATCAATCATCGCAACCCGAGCGAGGACGGAATATAAATTCGATCAAGATAAAGAAACGGAAAGTGGTTCCATCTCACATCCGAACACATCCCTGTCCAGAGGCTATTTTTTCACCCGCGGCCTCTTGAAACTACAAAGTATATGCGGCAGATGAGGATAGTACAGTACTTACTCAATCAAATCTTCTCATGTACCCACGCAACCACTGCCTTTTGGCCCCCCATCAAATTTGCCTCTCATCTCCTGGATGGTCCTCTCCAATCCGGATGGAAAGGTATCGAGACAGAGCAAATCGAAGAAGAAAACAAGAGGAGGAGGTGGGGGTTCTCCCTTGAGTGGCTGCTGGCCGCTGCCTGATCGGCCGCTAACATTTTTTTTTTTAATTATGCATTTGGTTACTGGTGACTGACAGACTGATGGGAGATAACTACAGCAGACGAGGACGAGAAAGGAGAAAAACCCTACTCCGGTCACCTCGATCATCCTGGTCGAGATGACTCGATCAGCATGACTCAATGAGCTATTGTATCCTTCATAACCATCAATCGCAGATTCCTCATTGACAGGTCGTCAAGCATGTTGAGGAAAAAGCCTTCATCTCTATCCGCGACATGTCTTCTGTCTTGCATACGTCACGGGCATGGTAGAATGGAATTTAATTTCATAGTCATGATGCGATCATGGTATATTCCGCACTGCGACTTCCGACCGACAGGGAACAAGAGGCCTGCAGCTGCAAGGTGAAATCGGAATTCCTCCATTGGCGTATCAGGATGCCCATCACAGGCGAGTTGCGGCACGATGATGAAGGGTCATTAGATCGGTCGCAATGAGCTTCAGGGGTGACTTTGATAACCGGAGTATACTGCATCCATGCTTTCCATGGAACGGCTGGTAATTAACACTAGATATCCGCGATACCCCAGGCGCTTGTCCGTGCGGTTTCAGACCCTCAGTGCGTGGCATTTTATCCTGGGGCACGGCTCCCCACGCACGGCACACCACACATGGATCAGTGACATCAATGGGCTTGTTTGGGGGAGCCTCAACCATCCTGAGAATCTCATCCGATCATTTCATCCCTTGCAGATTCGCGATAACCTCATTTTCGCTTTAGAGCCATTGCAGAAATGCTCATCACCGGATGTGCCAATCGATCTCCTCAATGGAGAGCACATCATACGTGCGGATCGGCATACCATAGCGTCCGTGTATAATTGAAGCAAAGAATATCTCTTGAGTGCAAATCAATTCGAGATCGTTATGTGTAGCAGCTCACCACCAAATAGATTGCTTGCAGCACGCGCTGATAGGCTCCTGAAAGATAGTGGCTATGCATGATACCACGAGAGTACGCTATACCGCTATGCGTCTCACGCTGAAGTAACGGCCAGTTCTTATTGCCATGTCGCCTTGGTGTAACCTCATGATCGTGGGAATGAACAACAGTGCCTCGTGACCCGGACATGTCTCGCAGGCAACGAAGAAGTAAGATCGTCAATCGTTCCGGTGTTCTGTCTCAGTCGGTCCGGTGGGCTGAAGTTACCCAACCACTAGTGTCTTAGGCGGACAGATGAGATTGAGATATCTCAGAATCTAAGAGTAAAGGTAAGGTTGAACCTGAGTACGGTGCCATCGATCCGTAATCGCGGTGGAGGGCGTGGCTAGGGCGGCGGTGGAAGGATGGGAGGATGGGGAGGGTGGAAATAAGAAGCGATGGTTTGCTGGTTTGCGAGGATCCCCACCCGGCTCCATCTCGACGGGAAGAACCCCTGGGTCTGAGCGGATTCCATCCATTCCATCCATTCCATCCACGGACCACCCGGAGTTTCTCCCAACATCTATACTACTCTACTCTAGGTAACTTACTCTACACTCCAGGCTACTCTTCCACCATCATTTTCATCAATCTTGACTCAATCTCCTCGTGACCCTCTCTGGATGACTCTTGTCGCCCGTCACAGGTCTTCAATCTCATACTGTTTGTACCTACCTGGCCCCTCCGAGAAAATCCCGTCTTGTTGGCTGCCCAAAAGTCCCGAACGATGACCAGGAACTTTCCCATTGCGGCCCAATGACGGTGGCCTCCACCCCGCGGGGCACACCTCGTTGGTGAAATTTTCTCATTCCGGAGACGACGGTCAGCTTTGGACAAAAGGAAAGAAAGGGAAGGCAAGAAACCTCTCAGCATCAAGGATCTAGGTTACAAAGTTCATTATTGAGTTTATTCGAGCTCATGGGCAGGCATTCTTCAGCCGACCTGATCTAGCCCAGCAAACAAGGATAGAGAAAACCGGTATATCCCACCGACTCAACAGGCAGATTTACTTCGCTCATGTCATCGTCATGACACAAAGAATTGCTTTCACTCCCTTTTCAGTCCTCCATGATCAGTCCTCACCCCCCGCTTGCGGTGTTCTCCTGATGGGCTGATAAGTTTGCTATCCTTGTGGGGAGGCCCGCTGAGCGAGCAGCATGGAAGACTGTGTCGAAGCACACTAGAAAAACATGATCCTGGTTAGTGAGCCATTCACTTACTCTCCGATTCTCCACGCCGGAAGTGCCAGGCGGAATCAATGTTTATTGTAATGTTTGCTTCGTTATTCATACTGCACTAACTTATTGAGAACCCGAGAAGTGTCTCCATCCAACAACAGACCTTGACTAATCCGAGTTCACCCATCATTAATCCAAGCCTCCTTGAAGGCTTGTACTCCGATGAATGAACACACTCCGTTCCAATTGCTTCACAAAAAGCTTTCTCGGGCATTATTCTTCCCTTAATCACATGACCTAAAGCATGGTATACCCTGGACCCTGTGACTCACACCACAGCGACTGATGCTGGGTCGTGTCTCCATACATCTGGCAAGGATGAAGATTAAGCTGTCCAGACTGTGGTAACCCTGCCTGGACCATGAATACATCTACCGGTGTGCATTGCGCCCACACACGGAAAAATTGACGTCCGAAACGCTGGCTCAGATGAAGGGCCAGATAGTCCGGGTGAATTTCGTCCAGTGGAGGCTGATTGACAAAACTCTATCGCTCTCTCTGCGTCATTTATGCGTGCTGCCAAACTGTCAATGACAATGATCCTGAAGGGAACACAGTGCATTAGCGGGGCGTTCCGTCTGCATCTGGTATTTGACTCAGTCAATTCTTGCCCCTGTAATTTAGCTGTGCATGATTCTTGATCGTTGGATCTCGTGGGTGAGATTACCTCTCTCCATGCCGTTTCGGCGCTTGCAAGCTTGCCCCCCCCCCCCGCATCTATTGATGCCCAATGCTCGTGATTACCTTCCTGCATAGTGCTAGCCGCCGGATCAAAGACAGCAGCTTTTGCTTACTGCTTTGACCATCAACCATTTGCTCGAAACCGTCCTTGTTCGTGTTGCTGATACACCGTAGGAATAGTACCCAGGATCCCTTGTTTTCATGCAAGTCCACTACATGTGCCCAATTCTGCCGAGAAAGATAGACTGAGCATAAAGTATGAGTCTCAAGAGATGGGCTACTTGCTGAGTTGCTTATATAGTGAAAGTTAAACGTCCAATGCCTGCTCTGATTTTCACGAGTAGTTGTTGTAACTTCCACTTTGCATAGAAATATGGTAACTTGAGTGCATAGTACAGTAGTGGAGCCTCAGGCACCAAAAGCCGATAAGATAACTACTAAGTTAACGAGGGGAGGCTGCTGAGTCATGCCAGTTGCCGGGGCCACGAAGGAACCGCCCAAACAAAAGAGCGTCATCCCCAGCCTCTCCCCAACCACCTCAATTTCCGTCTGGGCGTCGCTTGTTCTGCCGCTTGCGTTGCGTTGTTTCTTGCTCTGCCTTCATCCTCTAAGCTACTGTGAGCAAGCCAGTGCTAACACAGTTGGTAGTGCACACCAAGCTAGCATTTGTGCTCACATCCACCTTGCACACTGCATTCCAACCATCGGTCTACTATCTAGATTCTGGTACCCGAGCATACCATATACATCTCAAAGTGGATCGGGTGATTGAGATCGAGCCCACCAGGATACCCAAAGTGTCACTTTCAGTGGGTAAGACATCCCGCATTCCAGCTCAAGTCAATCAATCATACATTCGTCTCTATCCATCAAAGATCAATCAGTCAATCTATCAATCATCTACCCTTTCATCATCCATCCATCCATCCATCCATCAATCTATCTAGAGAAACATTCACTTAACCAAGCCGCAGAGTGCCCGTCTCGAGCACCACGCTCTTGACATCCACTGCCACTTTCCTCATCATGCCTCCCGTCCAAACCGCCGGTGACTTTCCCGGCATTTCCATCCTCGAAACCCTCACCACAGCCACCCATCCCCCCGAACTCGCCGCTTCACCGTACTCCCACCCCAGTCTCCAAGACAGCACCAGCACCAGCAGCAATGCCCCACACAGCCACCTCCTCCACGCCCGCGACTCCAAATATGTCCCCGGCAGCGGCACCGTCGAGGCACACAAGATCAACATGAAGGGCCTGATGGCGCTCTTCGCGATCATCGGCGCGGCCTTCGTGCTGGCGGCGATCTGGTTCTTCTTCTGGGCCAAGAACGGCGGGTTCGTGTGGCGCAAGGGCGACTGGGAGGAGTACAAGTCGACCGTGCTGCGCCGCAAGGGGCCGGACGGGCGCACGCTCAGCAACGCGACCAAGAGCACCAAGCTCGGCGGCGGCAGCATCGTGCACAAGGGCTACAGCGACGACGGGTACACGTACACGGAGACCGCGACCACCATCACCGAGAAGACGGGCGCCCCCGGCGGCAGCGCCGAGCGCAAGCGGCGGCGCAGGCTGCGCGAGAAGTTCCGGCGCCGCCGCAAGGACGACGAGATGACCGCCAACTGGGAGAACGAGGTCGACGAGGACGTCGCCGCGTACCGCAAGGAGAAGCCCGCGCGCGTCGGCGGCATGAACCGCGAGGGCGACGGGACCACCTACTACGACGGCAGTGACTACGATCTGTCCAACCCGCCGAGTTACTGGCAGGACCGCGAGCAGAGCGAGGTCAGCCAGGTGCGGGACTACGCGTACGATCCCGTGGTCGAGCGACGGCAGAGCAAGCGGCGAGACTTTTCATTTGTGGCCGGTAGTGAGGAGTTGCTGAGCCAGGCGGACGACCATCATCACCATCGCACGATCCGCGAGCCATCGACCAGAAGACATAATCGCCGACGCGAGCGCAGGAGACACGCCCCGACGGACAGTGGTGGTGGCGGTGCTGGCAGTACCAGTAGCCCGTCCCGCTCGTCCCGGCAGAGTAGTCCCCGCAAGCGTCCGTCGGTGACGGGCCACTACACCGAGCCGCTGGATTTCTCCTCCGCGGCCTCACGCTCCGAGTATCAGTATTCCAACGTCGACACCGAGGACTCGGGCACCAAGAGCTACCACCATCCAATCCCCGGGTTGAGCAAAGGCTACCGCCGGGAAGGTGGTCGGGGCCGTCGTCGCGACAGTCTGAGCGAGAGTGATGGCGAGGAGACTCGGTACTCGAGACGTTAGGTTGCAGCACACTTCCTGTATACCTCTCGCTTTCTCCTCCCTCACGCCGAAAAGTCTTCATCAATGACGACGCCAATGGAAGGAACAAGGTGGGCTTGCTTGTAAATAAATGGCCTTGGCCCAGGTTATGCTTTCTGTCCATGCGCGTTACTTCTTCGGGCTTTGCCGTTTTTTTCTATGCGTTCAAATTGAACTGCGAATTGTTCACATGGGATTATGATTGATGGGACATGTGATGAATGGATACCATACAAGGCAATACAATGCAATGCAATGCAGAACTCAACACGATATGAATGATTACGGTATGAAAGGATTTTCTGCGCCCGAAGCAGGAGCTTTACTGTGGATATGGGTATGGATAGGAATGGCGATTCTTTTCTCTTAATATTTCTCTCCTCGTACAGTACATAGTAATTCAGCGATAGGTATTGACTTTTTTTTTTTTTTTTTTTTGCTCTATCTGTCTCGATGAGTACTAGGTAGTCTGTCCCATCGCCCATCCAATTTCGCTGAAATGTTCGATGTCAAACATAATACTAGGTAGTAAGGAGTAACTTAGACTATGGACGGTCCAGTGATCTAGGATAGAAGAACCACCACCAGACTCGTCTAGCCTATCCACGCCGTAATTTCAATCTTCGAGAACATCCTCCCAAGAATCTTAGTGAACAGAGCATGTGCAATAATTCGAGGACTCATGTGACAGAACTACACTACGAAAGCCAAAACCTCAAAAAATCCGAAGATCAAATTCATTCTATCTGATATACAGCCCCCGCCTACCTACCTACCTACCTCCCTTCCTCCAGGATCATCCAGAGAGTCAACAAAAACGCCAGCACGGCATAAAACCTCAGCCTCAGCGTCAACCCCAATAGCGCAAACAACCGCAACAAATACAATGACTTAGAACACCCTGAACATTCTTAACCATCACATAAACCACCTGAAAAATCCCATCCACGACCCAAGAAAAGCATTTACAAACCACACACCCAGAGACCCCTCCCCCAAACAAAGTGTCGAAGTATATACCGCATGCACGCACACATCCTGCAAAAGTCTACCGTCTCAGAAACACAAGAGCCAGGTACCCGAATAATCGATACACGGCGATGATCCCCAGCAGGATCCCGACCCATTTGCCGGTGCGGCCGGTGGCGTAGCCGTATTCGTGCAGCACGCCCGTGCCCCGGATCTGGCACTGCGCGGCCAGGTCGGTCTGGTACATGCAGGTGCAGTCGGCGGCGCAGGCGAAGATGCGGTCGGAGAATTGGTTGACCATCATGCCTTGGAAGACGTAGGCCTTATTTGTGGGGTTGTGTTAGTGGGGTTGTGCAGTTGGGGATGGGGGGAGGTGGGCAGGGAGATGAGTGAGATTGGTAAATGCAAATCAAGTCAAGTGGACTAACCTGATAATCGATGTAATGGAAGACATATTTCCAGAATGGATTCAGGATGGTGTTGGTCACCAGGAACCCACCCACCGCCATCCAGAGTCCGTTGGCGAAGGCGACTAGGGCTAAAGCGATGACAAAGTTGGGGAAGATGGAGGAGACGAAAACTACCAAGGACTCGGCGGCCACGAGGTCGAGGAAAATCCACATGATCCAGGTGAAGAACGCCGTGGCGGTTGGAGTGAGGTTGTTGAGCCAGTAGGCGATCACGGAGTAGAGGAGGGAGATGAGGACTAGACGGGAGTCTTGATTAGCGTTCAAGCAGGCAATGACAAGCCAAGGACCATGCGGTTGCGGACGAGGAAACGTACAGAGAAAAGGGAGGCCGATAATGAAGTTGGACACGAGAAATGGAAATGAGCCGTAGAGACCGTTCGCACGCTCCTTGGTGAAAGTTGCTAGGTCTTCCAGGAAGGCAGGGACGTATGCAACGGCCATAAAACTCATGAACGCGGAGCCGAAGAACTGAAGACATTAGTATATGTGATAAGTTGGCTATGTCCGGGCAGGTATAATCGGTGGCTTACTATTGAGTTGATGAATGGCTGGATATAGGCTTGTTCAGTGTGCAAACGCAGCCACACAGTTCCCACCATTATGGCCAGTGCTGGACAAAGTCAGTGAGGTCAAGCGCTGGCTCTTTCTGGCAGAAACATACCCATATACATAACAATACGGATTCCATATGCCACAATGTCACGGTAGCTCTTGATGAAGGCGCGGTGCAAGAGGGATACGATAACACTGAACATCCCCGGATGACCGAGCTCCGCAATGTCCACCTTGCTGAAGCCCTTCTCATGGCCTCCCAAGTCCTGTGATAGCTGCTCGCTCAATGCTTTACGCTCCGCAGAGTGTTGCCAAGCCGCGCAAATCTCCTCCACTTGATCCTCCGGCGCATCGAGCGTACCACTGCCAAAGTCGGCGCTGATCAGGTCGAGAATGAACTCCGCTGGGTTTGTGTTCGGCGGGACAGGATGACCAAGTCGGTCGAAATAATGCGGCACACCAGTAACAGGGCCGAAAAAGCAGGTCTGTCCGCCTGATAGCAGAAGCAGCTTATCGAAGAGTTGGAAAGTGGTTGATGATGGTTGGTGAATGCTGGCGATAATAATCAGCTAGCAGAGGTTAGCATATTGTGTCATTCCTCCCTGAAGAATTCATACATTATTTGCCACGGCCAGTTTCTTGATGTAGGAAATGACTTCAAAGCTGGCAGTTGAGTCCAGACCACTGGTAGGCTCATCCAGGAACAAGATCTTCGGACAGGTGATCAGTTGACTAGCGACACTGACTCGCCGTTTTTGCCCACCGCTGATGCCCTTGCGGATTGGAGTGCCAACCAACGTTGAGGCCTGATTCTGAATACCGAAGGCCTCCAACAAAGTGCGAATGCGCTCTGCCCGTTGCGACTTGGAGACGGAACTGGACGTATTAGCAGTTCGATCGAGAATGGCCAGAGATCAATTAGAGAAGTACCTTGGAAGAGAGAGATCGGCTGCAAACTTCAATGTCTCCTGGACAGTCAATGAACCAATCAAGGCATCTTCTTGTTCCACATAGGACGTGAGTCGTCCAAAGGTGGTGTTATCCATTGCCGACCCATTAACATAGCACTCTCCCGTTTTTGTTGCGCCCGAGGATGCTACACGCCGAGCAAGGACGTTAAGGAGGGTCGTCTTGCCACATCCTGACGGTCCCATCAGTGCGACCAGCTCTCCTGCTCACAATGCATGAGTTGGCCTTCTTCAGCAAGCACAAGGCAATAGAGAAACCTACCTTGCTGGACTGAGCCACTGATGCCATCGATGAGTTGTCGAGGGAGTTTTGTTCGACGGTCCTTGACTGTGACTCGTAGATCACTCCAGGCGAAGCTTTGAACAGTGTTGTTCATCAAGAACTGATGCGCTTCGTTCCGCTCGAGATCGAAATCATCTTTCTTGGTTGGTAATTCGGCCTCCATATTCAGCTGTGGGGGCTACACCAGGTCGTCGAAAGCAGGTATGTGGCCTTGATGTACGCCAACTAAGACGGGGGAGAATTAAACTATAACCTCAGACTTGTGTAATCTCCAGAAAACAGCAACAGGGATTAGGCTGGATCTAAACAGCAGAAAAGAGCCGTTATAGGGTCCCAGCCCAGCCCAGGGTTTCGTCTTACTTAAGACGAGGCCGAGCCCACTATACGATCTCTGAAGGAATGAGATCGCCGAACATGCTCGGCGTCATGGGTCATCCTGCCTCGCAGCCATAGTGGGAGGGGAACCCTGCACGTCACGGTCGGTCAGTCAGACAGTCAGTCAGTCAGCATTCCAATGCAGCAGCAGCAGCCACCGCCGCTTCAGACCTCAGGGACAAATCCAGCGAACCATGGATCTGAAGCCCGAGAGAGTTGATGCCCGCTGATCGGGTGTCGCCGTCCGTGGGGTCGGATAAGGTTCCCAGTCCCCGAAATGCCCGAAAGTTATTTTTTGATGGTAAGAACAATCGCATTGATTTGCCATTCTATTGTTCTCTCGGGGAGCGGAGCGTGGTTGTCTGGTCGAACACGAGGCGTGGAGTCTCGAAGGGAGAAAACAGTACAAGGAAAAACAAAGAAAAGGGAGCTATTCCCCCTAGTCCGCTGGCTTCGTACGATAGTCGGTGATTCCGCACTCATGATTGGCCTGGTCGCCCCCCCCCGAACAGCTCTGGGCAAATGGCACAGGGCACATTTTTTGACCAGCTGAACTGGACTGAAAATGCTGGCGATAGTCGATTGTGATTGAGTCCTCTCGAGCAGCATTCTCACCTTGCACCTTGCGCCTTGTGCTTGAATAGTCAGTCAGTCAGCGAGTTAGCCCCGTTGCACGGACACCCAACCACAGCCCTCGGCTAGACTCTCGCCGTCGTATCTCTGTTGCTGCTGGCTGGACGCCACTTATAAGCGATGACCGGGGCCACGACAAAGCCAGCAAGCTCCCTCAGGTTAACGCGGCCAAATGCTCGTCGTTGGTCTGCAACTCCCTTTCAGCCGACGGTTTATCGTCGCTGCAGCCGCGCCCGAACAAACCGTTTTTGATCAGCCATCACACACCTTGTGCGACGTGAAAACCCCTCGCTAAATCACACTTGCTCAGCAACCAGTCTAGCTATCAGCCCCGTCGAGTTCTTTGCCGCTTGGTTGCCATTTTCCTCAGCAAAAGGGTGGAAAATTAGGCGGGGTGTGTTCTGAGCATGTATTCCGTCTCACGCTGTGTACCGTCTGCGATGCATTGGAGAAGTGTGTCTGTCTCACTCAGATCAAGAAGAGCCGCAGAACGATAGGCAGCTTTCCAAGCTGGAGTGATACCTTTCGGCCGAAGTACGCTGCACGGCGCTGCTGCGCCATCGTGGCTGGTTCATGCGCCTGCCGTCACCCGTTGGAATGACAGCTACCCCAGAGAAAACGTCAGCAAGTCATTCGCTGGGGTCAAAACAATGCTGATATCGTTCCACTCTTTGCATGAGTGTAGAATGAAACGAGAATGCTGCTGCTTCTTCTGTTGCTGTAATCATCCCTGTCTTGGGTGCTGTGAACAACTGGAGATGCTGACGGAAGCCGCATGCAGTTGGCATGGGGAGGAGGAGATGGGAAGCGCGAAGGACGACTGACTGCCCTCAACAACAGACATCAAGCATATCTTCAATGTCTTCAATGTGGGTGATTGACGTCGACTATGAAGTAGGCCAGGCGATGCGGCATACTACTAGGCGTTCCCGAGTGTCAAAGTAAGTTCCTCAAGCTCAATATATGTAAAATGTGGTGCTCCGAAGCGTGAAAGGTGACTCAGTCAACCATATATATTGGTATACACAGATTATTTGATATCATTTTCATGTACGATATATCTCTTTTGAGCTCCGATGTCGTCTGCGCATACTTTTATACACTGAGGTTCTTCATTGAGGGCATCACACTTTCGTCTTTTCTTGACCTACAGTACTTGAAATTCTGGCGAGTGCTGCATTGAAAGTGCTCAAGGATGGAGGCCGATATGCAACTACGGGATTAATATGTGTGACTGACTGCGAGCTTGCATTCGACTAGCAGATTGAGCCTTGGATTCTATTGGGATTGGCTAGTGTTATATGTTGTTGCATGACAAAGTGAGGGAGGCTTTGGAGACTTCAGCAAGCAGCAGTACGCTGAGTGAGCTGCCTAAGGCATAGCATCGTATTCGTTCCTCCTGCCACTTCTACGGCATTGTCGCACTTACTCCCTCACTCTCTTCCCTCCCTCCTCCATCTTTCTACTGTCAATCCCACCCAATCTCCAACCTCTTTGGCCTTCTCCATCGCTTTCTGAGCAGAATCAGATCAGTTATCGACCGTCAGGAATGATACTCCTGCACAGATCGGTATTTCCCAGTCCCAAAACCACAGCAGAATGAGACATCGAGCTTTGAGAACAACAGTCAGCGGCAAATCTGCACCACTTGGCTTCACCATCTTGTCTGGGCAGAGATGAACTGATCAGTAAACACCGAGAAATCCCTCATTCCGAAGACCCGCCGCGATGACAATTTTCCGCTCATTCCGACGCTTCCTATCATTCCGTCAATCAAGTCGAAAGAGTGTTGACAACTGCCGATCTCGAGACGGGGTAGCTTCACGGCACTCTGCAGAGCCCGAATCCGAACTCAGGATACTCCTTAATATATTTCTCCTTACAAGTCAATTTATGCTGAGGTAGTGGAGCCTATGAAATTCTGTCAGGACTCTCAGGATTATTGAAGATAGCAACTGCCAAGAAGTCCGTCATCAAGCCATCGACGCAGGCACGACGGTTTCAACTTGCGAATGGTTTGGTGGACGGTGCCGCCGGAAAATGCCCAGAAGGACCGTGGGTCTGATGTCTTACCTGAGCAGCCCACCGACCAATGTCCGCCACAAGATTTCTATCCTTATTTCCTGGGATGGGTACTGGACCCGCTCGAGCTTCCAGAAATACTCTAGGGCAGAGTGACCGCCCAGCATTATGGTGGAAACTGCTCATTTAAGCTTGCATTCGGTGAGGAACATCTCCTCAGGATGCCCATAAGCCAAGCTTCTGCTAACAAGCTTGACTTGCTTGACTGACTCTCTTCGTGGGTCAATCGCATTGGCAATAGACCTTGAAAAGGCTTGTCTCTCTTGCTGTCAACAAGCATCTCGCAAAGCTCCTTGCAATGAGTCGCATCGAAATTCACATTGTTGCCTACAGCAAGCCGATAGCCGAGCGGGGCGGGGAGCAAGCCACCAGGCACTAACCCACTCTGCCTGTTGCTCCGTCGGCATTTTTTTTCAGGGTGTTATATTGCAACCACTCACCGGCGATCATGAAACCATCCGCCACTCATGGAAGTAAATTATATTGCATGGCCAAAGGGTCTGGCTCGATGTCTCGGCGCCCTGCCGAATGGGAGACTTCAGGGGTGCCTAAAGCGAATGCAGACAAGCTCCAACCGGTGTGAGTGGTCAATTCTCGCGGCTAAGATAAGCTTGCGTTTCAAGTTCGACAGACGAACTCTTTGGGAATCGGTTGAAAACCACCCCGAAACTCTGAGGACCCTATTTAGAGCCAAATCGGGGTGCTCGACGACCTCATACTAGCCCTATACGATTTAGTCGCTCGGACCCAGTTTGCTCTGGGCCTACTAATGTACCTACCTTCATTTCAATTTACCGGAATTCTTCCATGCCAGAAACCGTTCGATATAGCTAACAGCTATAGCTCAGAAACGTACCCCCTTCTCAGCTTGAGGCAGCGCAACCACGGTACCATAAATACCTTCTTCCCGCCTGCTTGCCATGATGGATTTTCTTCTTCCTCATCGCACTCCTTTGCTCTCTTTCCTACCCCATCCAGTCTCTCTTTAATCAGCTTCTCCTGTTGATCCAGGTTTTCATTCGTTTCATCAAAATGCATTTCATCAAGTCCTCTATCTTGGCTGCCACCATGGGCGCTGCGCTGGTCGCAGCTGCTCCCACCGACATCGAGAAGCGCTCCAGCTGTACCTTCACCGATGCCGCCAAGGCCAAGTCTGGCAAGACCTCTTGCTCGACCATCTACCTCAACAACATCGAGGTTCCCGCTGGTGAAACCCTTGATCTGACCGGCCTCAAGTCGGGCACCACTGTAGGACGCCCCTGTTCATGAATGCATGGTGAAAGCTAATCATTCCCCCCAGGTTATCTTCGAAGGTACTACCACTTTCGGCTACAAGGAGTGGAAGGGTCCCCTGATCTCCATGTCCGGTACCGACATCACTGTCAAGCAGGCCTCCGGCGCCAAGATCAACTGCGATGGTGCCCGCTGGTGGGACGGCAAGGGCAGCAACGGCGGCAAGACCAAGCCCAAGTTCTTCTATGCCCACAAGCTGGATCAGTCCAGCATCACTGGACTCAAGGTCTACAACACCCCCGTCCAGGCCTTCAGCATCCAGGCCGACCACCTGACCCTCACCGATGTGACCATCGACAACTCCTCCGGTAACTCTGAGGGCCACAACACCGATGCCTTCGACATTGGCTCCAGTACCTACATCACCATTGATGGCGCCAAGGTCTACAACCAGGACGACTGCTTGGCCATCAACTCCGGAGAGGTATTTGCTCGGCCTGCCGACTATATTGTCGATTCAAGCATCTAATAATGTCTTCTAGCACATCACTTTCACCAACGGCTACTGCAGCGGTGGCCACGGTCTCTCCATCGGCTCCGTCGGTGGCCGCAGTGACAACACTGTCTCCGACGTGACCATCTCCAACTCCCAGGTCGTCAACTCCCAGAACGGTGTCCGCATCAAGACCGTCTACGATGCCACCGGTACCGTCGAGAACGTCAAGTTCGAGGACATCACCCTCTCCGGCATCACCAAGTACGGTATCGTCGTCGAGCAGGACTACGAGAACGGCTCCCCCACCGGTACCCCCACCAACGGTATCAGCGTCAAGGACATCACCTTCGAGAAGGTCACCGGTACCGTCAAGAGCTCCGCCACTGACATCTACCTCCTTTGCGGTTCCGGCAGCTGCTCTGACTGGACCTGGTCTGGCGTCAGCGTCACCGGCGGCAAGAAGAGCTCCAAGTGCAAGAACGTTCCTTCCGGTGCCTCTTGCTAAGCGGGTGGATTTGTTCCTGTTCGAAGCTTTTCTGGGCCATCAGAGTGCGATCTCGAGGTGGATGGGGTAGCCTGTCAAGGGGATGGGAA